AGGGGAGTCAGTGGTCCAGGTGGTTGGTTCAGGGTTTTGAGTTTCGAAGCATGCGTAGAAGGTGTTAAGCTTGTTTGGAAGAGAGGGGTCAGTAGCGCTTACAGGGCTTGTTTTGCTCTTGTAGCTTGTGATTGTATTTATGTCTTGCCACATGCGTCGTGGGTTAGTGTTGGTGTTGTAGTGGTGTTCTATTTGGGATTTGTACTGTTTCTTGGCAGATTTTATGCCAGTTCTTTCCTAGCCCCTCTCAGTTCTTCCTCATTACCAGATTTGAAGGCTCCATCACGGGCTTTGAGCAGGGAGCGGATCTCAGTGTTCATCCAAGGTTTTTGATTCGGGAGTTTGCGTATCTTTTTAACGCTCACCACATCATCAGCACATTTGCTGATGTAGCTAGTGACTGCTGATGCATACATATCAATATCAGTGTGGGATCCATGGGAGGCTGCATCTTTGAACACACTCCAGTCTGTGCACTCAAAACAGCCCTGAAGCATTGATTCTGCCTCTTTGGTCCATGTTTATACAGTTATAACTGGAGTTTTGGTGCGTTTGAGAAGTCGTCTGTAGGCTGGGAGTAGGAACAGAGAGATGTGGTCAGATTGTCCAAGAGGGGGGTGAGGTACTACTTTGTAAGCACCGGGTACATTAGTATAAAGAAGGTGAAGTGTGTTGTTTCCCCTGGTGGGGCAGTCAACGTGTTGGCTGTAGCTAGGCAGGACTGATTTCAGGTTTCCCTGATTAAAATCACCTGCAATAATAAAAACACCATCAGGGTGTGCTGATTCTTGTTTACTAATAGCTTTGGACAGCGTTTTAGTGATGGCAATGGCAGTAAGTCATTCCAGTCAGAGCCTGAATTTACTTAAACCCAGTGCTGAAAAGGCTAGGATAGTACAAAGAAGCAAGACAGAAAATGAAAGGAAAAGACATCGGAGGCTTGGTTTTCCTTGTGGACAAAATTTGGGCATATTGCCAATTATTCGGTTAATGAATTAGGTGGACAGTTTCTCGCCAGAGAAAAATTCAGGTTAGATGATTCAATGTGCTTATTTCACTGTCTTTTTATTGTCACATCAAGCCTTCAGGAACATTAAAAAACAAATTAAGGGTATTCTCAATAAAGTGATCCCCATTAAACCGGCTAACAAAAATGTTTGCCAATACACTTATTTCAATGAAAAGAAAATTTACATAAGTAATATTACTGTTACAATTAGGGGTTATGGAAATAGAGAGTACCAAAAACAGAATACTGAGCGTGATAATCAATAAGTAATTTAAATAATGATAGCCCTCAAACTTTAAAGATTATGCCAAGAATATACTCTTGTGGTTGGTATAATTAGAAGCTCTAGTTTTTTGTTCTCTGGCACAGCTTTGGTGGAAAAAAGAAATAAATCAGACACACTGGGTTAAACAAATATTTATTAATAATGATAGAACACAGTGCTGTACAGATACATCAAAAAATAAGATACCTCAAAAGCCTATCTAGACCGACCAGAAAATCCAGACTGCTACTACATATCTAAATCCTAGTTAACACCATTTCTCAAATGAAATGGAGAAATGGAATACCGGTGTGTATTTTTTCTTTAAAGTACCGATTCCTGGAATCTGGCTGACACCCTTCTGAAGTGGTTCCATAATATCTGGTATACGGAAAAGAAAGC